AGTTTGGCTAATTTCTTCTTCACTAGTCCCAAATAGGGGACCAGTCTTGGCTCTTTGACCTCGAACTCTCCGGAAATTTGTTTGACCATCAACATGGAGTCGGAGTATATGACGAGATCGGTCAGGCTCATGGCTTCGGCTAGAGCGAGCCCGGATAGAATGACTCGTATTCGGCCTCGTTGTTGGTTGCCGGGAAGAGGTATTGAATCGAATGACAGAATAGCCTTTTTTGAGGATCTACGAGGACGACCCCTCCGCCTGCTCGTCCGGCAGTGGAGGATCCGTCCACGTACATCACCCAAGGTTCTTCACCCTTCGTTTCCTCGACTCCCGGCGTAAACTCGGCTATGAAGTCCGATAGTACCTGCCCCTTCATTGCTGTTCGGGGTCGGTACTGAATATCGTATTGTCCCAGTTCCACCGCCCATTTGACCATTCGGCCCGAGGTGTCGGGTCGGTGCAAGATTTGTCTCAGCGGGTAGGCCGTGAGGACGGTGATTGAGTACTCCAAGAAGTACGGTCTAAGCTTTCGGGCCGCAGTCACCAGAGCGAAGGCGAGTTTCTCCATTGGCGGGTACCTCAGCTCGGCATCGTGGAGGGCCTTGCTCACGTAGTATATCGGGAACTGGCCCGAGTCATCTTCTCTGATCAGGGCGGCACTTACGGCTACCTCAGATATCCCCAGGTATAAATATAGCATTTCACCCGGGCGGGGCTTTTGCATCGTGGGAGCCTGGCTAAGGGCTTCTTTGATTGCCTCCAGCGCCTTTTGGCAGGCCGGTGTCCACTCGAACTTGTGATTTTTCTTGATAGCATCGAAGAATGGTTTGCAGCGGTCGGTGGACTTCGAGATGAACCTGCTCAGGGCCGCGAGCTTGCCGGTCAGACTCTGCACTCCCTTGATCGATGTCGGCGGTCGAAGGTCTTGCACTGCTTTGATCTTCTCGGGGTTTGCATCGATGCCGCGCTGGCTAACTATGTACCCTAAGAATTTTCCCGATCCGACACCGAAAGTACATTTTTTGGGATTTAACTTCATCGAGTAATCACGCAAAATGGAAAACATTTTATTAAGATCGTTTACATGATTGGACGCGTACACGGACTTGACTAACATATCATCTACGTACACTTCCATACATTCACCTATCAAACTAGCAAACATTTTATTAACTAGACGTTGGTAGGTGGCCCCGGCGTTCTTCAGCCCAAACGGCATCATGGTGTAGCAGTAGAGACCACGTGCCGAGTAGAAGGAGGTATGCTCCTCGTCGTCCGGATGCATGGGAATCTGATTGTAGCCGGAGTACGCGTCCATGAAGCTCATCAGCTCGTGCCCTGATGTAGCGTCGACCATGTAGTCGATGTGAGGGAGGGGATAGCTGTCTTTGGGGCACGCCTTGTTTAAGTCGGAGAAATCAATGCACAGCCGCCATGCCCCGCTGCTCTTCTTCACGAGTACTGGGTTGGCCACCCAAGTCGGGTACCGGACTTCGCGTATGTACTCGTTATCTTTAAGCTTGGTCACCTCTTCTTCCAGGGCTTGCTGCCGGTCGGGGCCGAGCTTCCTCCGCTTTTGCACGACCGGCTTGACCGTGGGGTCGACCTGCAACCGGTGGCAGGCGACGCGTGGGTCGATGCCGACCATGTCCTCGTGGGTCCACGCAAAGACGTCTGCGTTTTTTCGGAGAAATTCGGTCAGTTCGGCCTTCATAGGCCCCGGCAGCCTGCTCCCAATCCGGAGTTGTTTCTAGCAGGTCTCTTCATCGATGAAGATGACCTCGACTTCGTCCATTGGCTCGGCCCTCTTCGTCTCCCGTCTTTCCTCGTATTGTGTCCGAGGGTCGAGCTCGTCCTCCTCCATGATCGGCCTTTTGCCAGTCCTCCCCCTGTCCCCGTCGAGGTCGTCTTCGACTCTGTCCTCGACGGGGTCCGTCACCTCGGTACCTGGGGCCGAGTTATCTTCTCCGGCGTTGGGCTCCGTGGCTGTGGGGTCGGCACCCGATGAGGCCAGGGGGTGCGAACCTGTCTGGTTTCCCAGCATGCGGTTGCCCCCGTGACCGTCGTGTGCCGACTCGGTGTCTGCCACCCCGGCGTCCTCCTGTAGGTTCGCCACATTTATTTCGGTGCGCGGGATGGTCAGGATGCATTCCCGCGCCTCCCTTTGGTCTCCTCGGTGGGTCCCCTCCCCATCGGGAGTTGGGAATTTGAGGGAATAATGGAAGATGGAGACGGCGGCCTTCAGTTTGTAGAGCGCCGTCCTGCCCAGTATGGCGTTGTATTCACTTGGGCAGTCCACGATTTTGAAGGTTTCCAAGATCGTCTTCGCGGGCTGCCCCCTTTCTCCGAACCGGACCGGTAGCGTGACCTGACCAACCGGGGCGATGGTCTGGCCGTTGAAGCCCTGGATCCGCTCCCGGCAAGGCTGCACCTCTTTCCTATCGATCCCCATCTTTTTGAAGGTCTCGTAGTAGAGGATGCTGGCGTAGGCCCCGGTGTCGACCATGATTCGGTGGATTTTTATCGCCATGATCGGCGCCGTGATCACCAGGGCGTTGGAGTGGGGATGGTCGAACAGGAAGGCGTCCTCGTCGTTGAAGGTGATGGTGTTTGGGGTTGGCTCTGGCGCCGGTCTGCTGTGGGCATGCATCACGGCGTGATAGGCCTGTCGAGCGTAGGCCTTGGTTTGTCTCCGGGAGAGGAGGGACTCGCTCCCGCTTGTGTTGACACGCCGGGTTGGGAGGTTGGCCGGGGTGGCCCCGGTGCGAGGGGACCGGTCTCTTTTTCTGCCCCTGGAGGTGCCTGCCTCATCTTGATGGGTGGGGCAGAAGGTCATGATCTCATGGGGGCCGCCCTGCTGCGACTTTTTCCTTCGAGGATTCACATCGGCGTCCTCCTCGCTGTCTGGGCCTTCCTCGAAGCGGCCCCCTTTCTTCCTCTTCTCTCCGGAGTGGGTGAACCTCCGAAGCTGGGGATCGTCTATCAGTTTGAGCAGAGCCGAGATCAAGTTCCAGCACTGGTCGGTATTGTGCCCATGCGCCTTGTGGTAGGAGCAGTAGCGGGTCTTGTCCACCTTGTCCTTGTCGGTGAACATCGGTTTGGGGTCTGGTAACAACCCCTTGGCCTTGATTTCCTCGTAGACCGCCGCGGCCCCTACCGAGAAGACGCCTTGGTAGCTTTCTCTCAGCTCCTCGGCCCTTTGCCTCCGCTGAGCCCGGATCTCAGCGAACGACTTGCTCGGCTTCCCTGATTTTTCCTCCTTTGCCTTTGCCTTGGCCGGCGCCGGTGCTGGCGTGGCGTCGAACGTCGGGATGGATGAGGACTCCTCTGCCATGATGTAGTCTTGAGCGCGAGTGAGGAATTCCTGATAGGTGGTCGGCTTGTTTTGGCACAGGGACCACCTGAACAACGTCTTCGGTCTGAGGCCACCCTGGGCCGTGATGAGCAGGGCGTCGGGGTGGCACCGCTCCATATTTTGGACCCGATCGTTGAACCGGGCGATGTAATCCTTTAGACTTTCACTCTCGCCCTGCACAATGTTGGAGATAGATTCTTTGGGGGCGAGGTTGACCTGCGATCCGATGAAGTGAGACCGGAACGCCGACCTGAGCTGTGCCCAGGTTGAAATGGAGCGGGGGTATAGGGAATGGTACCACCTCTGCGCCTTGGGTCCCAGCGTCAGGGAGAACATGCGGCAGCGCAGGGCGTCGGAGGCGCCGTGCAGGTCCATCCACGAAGTGTAGAGGCCGAGGTGCGAGTCGTGATGCCCTCCTTCTAGCGCCAAACTGTTGACGGGCGTTTCCGGTCAACGGTTAAAAAGTTAAATACAATAAAGAAAGTAAGGAAAAGACAAAGAAATACGGTTTAATTGCGATTTTATTATATGATCACGAGGTCGGCCTCTCGTACGAGGTCGGCACTTGCGATATACTTCGAGGTTTCTTACAAGAATTTCTTACAGATCTTTTAGAGAGAGAAAAAGTGAGTACAAGTAGTTGGGATTCAACAACCCAAAATAAATGAAGTGGGCTGCTATTTATAGTTGCCTTAAATGTGACACTGTTCAGGCACTGTTCATCAGTCTTGTCGAACAGTGTTTCTTGCAGAGTAGTTCGGCGCCTCCCTGACAGAATTTAATGCGATTTGAGGTTTTCCTCATCATTGTCTGACAGTCATTTAATGCTGGCAGGCTTTGTGTCTTGGCTAGAGGAGGTAGGTCAACAGGCTAGAATGTCCCATCCATCAGCCAATGATTACTCTCCAAGTGGCCTTATTATACTGCTATCGAGATCGGCACCTTCATTGCAGGGACCCGTCCTGAGATTCCAGACCGGTACTTTTTCTTTGCTTGTTCCTCCTTCCCCGGGGGACCTATCTTTCAACCCGTCGCTCCTCAGATCGGCACCGGTACTTTGTAGCCGCAAACGCCGGACTGACGAATCGGACTCGGAGGATCGTCTTGGTCATAAAATATTCCGGTCCAGCTCGACACTTTCTGAGCGAACCGGATCTCCGGTTCGGCTCTCGAACTCGGGTGTCAACAAATTTTTTTATTCTTATTAATTTTGTATCTATCTGATCATATCCTTTACGCGAACTCTGTCCAACGACCATGAAATCGGCCCGGCTCTTTTCATAAGTTTTTCTTCATGGTAATTTTTCCTCCTCAATTCCGTAAGTTTTCTTCACTGTAATTTTTCATAATGTTGCTTCTTCACATGTAATGAAAATAAACTATATATGTTCCACAGTAATGAAGGCTAAACCTTAGGCCTGATGGGATGGAAAATAAGCTATGCTTATGCAGATATTTCTTGTGAATATATAAAACCAAGCACTTTTCTCATCACAAGACGGCATAGACTGAGAGAGGGAGCTAAAAATAATATAATGACAGATGTTATTTTACTACCGGAGCTAAAAAACTTGGATTTCATTAGATAGGAAGTTTTAATTGCATTTTTTTTTTTTCATAGCTTCATCAAGGATAGAAAATGAAAATGTTGCTAGGTTACTTCAATTTGGTGCAATAAGGATAAAAGTCTTTTTCCATGAATAACTAAGAAATAGTTATTTTAGCAAGTTTCAGATTGACCCATTATCTTTTGTTTTCTCTACGCTGGAATTCTTGGCAGACTTTAATTAATCAATAAGTATTGTGGAATTTTGAACAACAAAGCTTTGTCTTGCAACATTTGTATCAACCATGGATGTAGTTACCTTATTGTTTTTTCGTTCCAGTATCCACTAAACAGATTGAAATGTATGGACATTCATCTATGCCAAGTACTTCTTCAGGTAAAACATATTTAATATATTTTTTTCTTTAAATTCCAAACAATACAATATGGATCATATGTCTATTTGTTTATTATAAATAGGTGTATGATAAACATATACAATACTCTTCTTATTTTCATATTATAGCCAAAGATGTCTATCGGCAACAAAGTCTTCAAAAGATGAAAAGAAAATATGCTGAATTTGATTCTGCGAAGAAGAAGGCCTATATTGATAAAGTTAGGAACAGGAACAAGCTAAAGAATCCACAAGATAAGTGGTTTTTGAGAGCTCAAATAACAATGAATGAGTCCGAAGGTACTGAACAATATTTGATATATTTTGCGCAGTTATATTATTGAATAATTTTTTGAGAAATCTTATTTTTTAACATTATCCTAGGTTCAATTGTTACGAGTCTAAATCCAAGCCCACAAACACATGAATTGAGGAAAGTTCGAAAGTGCAGTTATTGTGATGTTGCTAGATTCCAGTACGAGCCTCCGACTTTTTGTTGTGACAAGGAAAAAGTTAAACTCGCACCCATTGATGTCCCAGACGAACTTTATGAATTGTTCACTTCAGATTCTAAAGAGTCGAATGAATTTCATAAATCTATTCGCCAACTAAATAGCATTTTCTCTCTCACATCATTTGGTGTAAAGGTAGATAAAGATCTGGCTTCTGCAAGACGAGGAGTTTATACCTTCCGTGCACAAGGAATGGTTTACCATGATCTTCCAGGGCTTATACCAAATGAAAGGGGTCCTGGTTTCTTTCAGTTATATTTTGTGGAGACCGAAAATGAGTTGGAAAACAGAATGAGGATTTTCGAAGATTCATCATTAAGTGAATCTATGGTGAAAAAAGTCATGAATATTTTAGAGATCAATCCTTATGCGAGGATCTTCAGAAGATTGAAAGATATCCCTTTGATTGATGATATCCACCTTCATATTGCAAAAGACGTGAAACTAGATCAACGTGTTTATAATTCTCCAACAGCGGATCAAGTAGCTGCAATATGGGTAGAAGGAAATAGCAATGACGTACCATTTGAGCGTGACATTATCGTCCATGCGCATTCAGGATATAGACACAGAATAAAACACTACTTTGGATGTTATGACCCATTGCAGTATCCTCTTCTTTTCCCAATGGGTGATTCAGGGTGGTGTCAAAATATCAGGAAAATAGATCCAGATAATTGTCAACTTCAAACAGGTCCATTTTTCCTCAAAGTCCATCAATTTACTTATATAAGAATACTACTCTAATTATTCCGCCCCATTATATGCATAATTTTAAAATTTTTTAGAATATAATATGAATGAATGTTTACTAATTCTCATTTGTTGGAATAGAATTTAAAAAAATTTATATTTCAGGCATATATCCAACGGCACAACCACATTACGTTGGGTCAGATGTTTGTTCAGCACATGACATTATTTCTAAAGAGTATCAAGGTATGTAAAATCGCATGTTACAAATGAAGTTATTCAGTATAATTTATTTATTTAAATTTTTACCTTATAAAATTATATTCCTTAATTTCAGTTGTGTGCAAAGAAGACGACAAAAAGGTTTCTTGCAGGGAATACAGTTGTTATAGGTTGCAAATTTGCTCACGATGGCATTCTATATTGCTTTCTGCGGGGAGATTATTACAACAGTATGCAGTTGACATGTACATAAAACTGGAGACAACAAGGTTAGACTACTATCGACACAACCGAACGACCATGAGATCAGAACTATATCAAGGAATAAAGGATTGTGTCTTACAAGGAGAAACAAGAGGAAGTGAAATTGGTAAAAGAATTGTTCTACCTTCATCGTTCATTGGTGGTCCAAGAGATATGCAAAGACGATATCTGGATGCATTAACATTAGTACAAAAATTTGGAAAACCAGATCTTTTTATAACTATGACTTGCAATCCGGATTGGAAAGAGATACAAGAGAGTTTATACAATAGTCAACAACCTCAAGACCGCCCAGATCTTACATCTAGAGTATTTCGAGCAAAACTACAAGATTTGAAAGATCTACTATTCAAAAAGAATATATTTGGAAGTGTTGCTGCACATGTTCATGTAGTTGAGTTTCAAAAGCGTGGACTTCCACATGATCATTTGTTGATAATATTGAATTCCGATTACAAAATTACAACTCCAGATCATTTTGATAGATTTGTCAGTGCAGAGCTACCAGATTAAGAAAGGTACCCCTTCCTTTATGAATTAGTAAAGAAACATATGATGCATGGACCTTGTGGAGATAAAAACATGAAAAGTTCTTGTATGGTGGATGGGAATTGCAAGTATCACTACCCAAGATCACATTGTGAGAGTACTATACAAGGTAAAGATGGTTATCCAATTTATAGAAGAAGAAAAAATGCAATCGCTGTTCAAGTTAGAAATGCACAACTAGACAATCGGTGGGTCTTATAATCCATTTCTTTTATCGAGATACAATTGTCATCTGAATGTAGAGATATGTTCGGGTGTCACTGCTGTGAAATACCTCTACAAATATATCTACAAGGGTCATGATCGAGTGGCCATCCAGGTATCTCAAAATGAAGAGGAAAATCATTTTGATGAGATAAAGAAATTTCAAGATGCTCGATGGGTCTCCGCGCAAGAAGCAATATGGAGAATTTTTGAATTCAATTTAAACGAGATATATCCGGCCGTTATTAACTTGCAGCTTCCCCTACCAAATCAACATCGCGTGACCTATTGGCCAAATCAAAATCTAGCAAATGTTTTGGCATAGGATCATAATTCCAAAACAATGCTTACCGAGTTCTTCTTTATGTGTGAGACATGTGAAGAAGCAAGGAATTATCTGTATAGAGAATTTTCCCAACATTATGTGTGGGATAAGATAGAAAAATGTTGGAATAAACGAAAACAAAGAGACGTCGTATAAATGCTGCAAATCCTGTAGAAGGAGAAAGGTATTACTTGAGACTACTATTAAATCATGTAAGAGGTCCGACATCTTTTGAGTATTTGCTAACAGTGGATAATGTACGGTATTCAACTTTCAAGGATGCTGCGGAAAAAAGAGGGTTGTTGGAATCTGATAAAAGTGTCATAGATTGCCTAGACGAGGCCATCACATTTCAAATGCCGAATGACTTGCGGAGATTGTTTGCTATAATATTAGTTCATTGTTCACCAACAAATGTAAGGAACCTTTGGGATACATATTTCGAAGCTATGTCTGAAGATTTCATAAGGCACCAAGAAACATCACTTGAAGAACAAGTTGCCAAAACATTAGAAAGTGTGAAATTTTTCGTCCACAGCATGGGCAACGTAATCACATCATATGATCTTCCTCGAATTCCTTCAAGTATAGGTTACCAAAAAAGGCGCAATTCCCTCCCAAAAGAAATACAGGATGAGCTATCAATAGAAACACCTCCAGAAGATGAAGAAGCAGAGGAAAAATTGAACACTCAACAAAAAGAAGCTTTCACAATAATATTGTCATCTATACAAAAGGAAAATGAGGAAATTTTCTTTATAGACGGGCCTGGTGGGACTGAAAAAACATTCTTGTACCGTGCATTACTAGCACATCTTCGATCAAAAAAATTAATAGCAATTGCAACTGCAACATCAGGAGTTGCAGCTGCGTTACTGCCAGGAGGTAGAACAGCACATTCAAGATTCAAAATACCCTTAGATGTCGATGAAACATGTCAATGTACCATGTCTAAACAAAGTGGAACTGCAAAGCTATTACATAAAGCGAAGCTTATTTTGTGGGACGAAGCACCAATGGCAAAACGTTCCTCCATAGAATATGTCAACACATTGTTGAAAGACATAATGGGGAATAATAAAGAATTTGGTGGAAAGGTTGTAGTTTTTGGTGGCGACTTCAGACAAGTCTTACCGGTTGTTCCCAGATCAACAATTATCCAAACCATTTCCGCAAGCTTAGTAAGTTCATCTTTGTGGCCTAAAATGAAAAAAATATATTTGACAACAAATATGAGGGCTAGGGCCGATAGCAATTTCAGTGAGTTTTTACTTCGAGTTGGAAATGGGCAAGAGACAACAGATTCAGAAGGAAATATTCATATTCCAAAGGAAAATATAAGTACCTATGATAATGAGGAAGACTCGATACAAAGACTAATTAGGTCTATTTTTTCGGGCTTAAAGAAGAATGTTCACTCATCTGAATACATGTCAAGCCGAGCAATTTTGACACCGAGGAATGAGCATGTTGATGCATTGAATGAAAGATTGATATCTATATTTTCGGGAGAAGAGAAAATATTTAACAGTTTTGACGAAGCCATCGATGACACAAATAGAAATTATGATGAAGATTTCCTGAACTCATTAACTCCAAATGGCTTGCCTCCTCATAAACTGGTTTTAAAGAAAAATTGTCCACTGATTCTTTTGAGGAACCTAGATCCATCCAATGGCTTATGCAATGGAACTAGAATGGTTTGTAGAGATTTGAAGCAAAACATAATTGATGCTGAAATTGTATTTGGACAACACAGTGGAAAGCATGTACTCATACCCCGAATACCACTTTGCCCTGCCGAAAATGAAGGATATCCATTTCACTTTAAACGAAAACAATTTCCAGTTTGACTATGCTTTGCCATGACAATAAACAAAGCACAAAGACAAACGATTCCAAATGTCGGAATTTATCTACCTCATTCGGTATTTTCTCATGGTTAATTATATGTTGCTCTATCGCGCGGAACATCCATGTCCACTACCAAAGTTCTAATTGCACCGGACATTACAAATACTCGGGAAAAGAATTAGATAAGGAATGTCGTGTATAAACAAGTCCAAAGTTCAGGTTGTAAAGTTATTCACTATTATTTTTTTCTGCATATTTTTAACCATCAACTAATTAATTCATTTTTAGGATGCGTATCGAGTGAAGAAGTATGTGATTAACTCTAGAAGTTCAGAATCAATCGTCAACATCATATTCAATTTGTCAAGGTAAGTATGAAATATTTACTGTTTGTAATATCCTTAACATATGCATTCTATAATACTTTAAACTAATCACTCATTATTTTGTTGTCAAAATATGTATCGCCTTTTATCGTGGAATTCTATGCCACTGCAACGAGGAGCTTCACCAAATATAAAGGTAACGATTGCACTACTGCTACAGTTTTTTTGTGAAATCTTATGCTTACTGTACTTTAATGTGGAGGTTGAATCTTACAAATCATTTTTTTTTTCACTATAGATTGGGGCCTTTGTATTCCCGACAATATCCACTGGACAAGAAGATGAAAGAGCATGTTTATTGTGAATTGTTTTAGAGCTTATGCCATGATATTTTTTTATTTTTCCTTTTTGTTATGATTTCATGTTTAAGTTGCAGCATAGATGAGTTGTTATTCATGTTCAAATGTATAGAAGTGTTGGCATTAAAAGCATGTTATTATGATTCTGAAACATGGGATGTATGGTCTGTTTATGCGCATACCTGGCTGAGCCATTTCGTGTCTTATATGTCATTCTTGTGCTCAATTTTCAGACATTTTAGAATTCAAGATTTAGCTTTTAAAAGGTCTATAAGTGTGGTGAAATAGGTAAATTGAAATGGTAAATTTATTTATTTTGGTTAAGGCACCTTCCATTATCTAAATATAGTTGCTGATTTTTTTTTCTTTAAATTATTTAGTTTTAAATTTGCACTCTCTTTTTACATAGTTGAAAATTAAATATAATAAAGTAGTAACAAATCATTCTGTATTACTATTAGGTACTTGAACTGACCTATGATTTTAACCAAACATAACCAAACATTTATCTATTTCATTTTTTTTATCAATTAAATGTACTTAACTAATTCATAGCTCGGTTAGGAAATACAATCAATTGACAAATATATATACATATAAACTTTCTAAAAATAATATCTAATTTTAAAATGAATAATTCATATTAACTTTTAAACAAACCAAATTATTGTAATGCAAAACCAAACAGAATCAAATACAACATCCTATGAAAACATATAACAAACCAAATTCAATGTTTTAAAAAAATACATGTATGAAACTCTTTTTTTTATATATATAATAAATCATTCTGACTTACTATACAACAAGGATATATACTTCAACTGCCTATGATTTGAACCAAACATTTATCTACTTCATTTTTTTTTAAAATTTTTTTTTTGGGGTCAATTAAATGTACTTAACTAATTTCATAGCTCTGTTAGGAAATACAATCAATTGAGTTGCCATGACATGAAACGCCAAGGAATCTTACCAGAGTTCCGTTTCATCACATTATCAGTTGATTCTATTTCTGATGTAACATACATAAGAACTAATAAGTATTAAACAAAATCACAAATTTCAATTTGATTTGCAGTAAATTATTTAAAAAATATTCATTCGTCAATGTCTATTTACGTATTTGTGTCTTCAAAACTTTACTCATTTCATCGTCATAGTTAAAAATAAATTACATGTAAGGAATTGTCAATTTTAAAATTTCCAATTTAGTGCCATATATATGACTATTTGATTTGTGATCAATTTTTTTTTGGTTTAGTCTCATTTCAAAGTTCAATATGTATTAATCTTTTAATTGTAAATTGTCATTATAAATTATAGATTAAAATTTTAATCTATAATTCATTAACTTCTAATAAGACCTATTTAATGACATATATGATGCAATTCAAACGTTAACAAAATATCAATGTATTAAAATTACACTTTATATCATGATTCATAATAAATTCATCCAACGTTCATATTACAATTTCAAATGTAATAAATCATTAGTTCAAATAATTCCTCAATCTCCACCATCCATTATGATTACATTTATTTAACAATTTATATTTCGATTGCAAATACTACAGTCACAAAAATTGTAATTTTTTTAAATATATATATATATGTAATATTATAAATTTAAAGATAATTATGATTTGTAACTGATTCAACCACACTTAATTAAAATATTTAACCATTTTGAACGTTGGAAATGAAAGCTAACAAACACCTATCTACCTTTTTTTATATAAATACTTGTCTTAGCTCTTCATTTTTCACTTCATCATCATTTCCAAATATTTTTAAGGTACGTCACTAATTTATTTGTCATCTAATTGTTATACACATGAAATTGTTATTCAATTTTTCATTACAATTATTATCATCTCCATTTTCCATTACAATTGTTATCACCTTCATTTTTCATTGTAATGTTTGCTCATGTTTATGATAAAAGTTAACAACCATAGGGAATTTTTTTTTTTTAATAAGCTCGTGTTTCGTTAAAAATTTCTTCACTATGTAATTATTTCATTATAATGTTTGCTCATGCTTCTTTATCAACTCCTTGTGGCAGCAAAATTTTAAAAAAATTCCTAATCAAGCTATATGATTATGTAGAAAACTGTACATCATGACATCCGAGGATCAAAGTGTCGTCATCGACGATCTGCAAATAGGCGACAAGACATTCACCATACGGCTAAAAGCCTTAAGAGTTGGGTCTGAAACGTGTTGTGGAGCCAATCTTTCAATGAGGATTCAAAAAATAATAATGGCAGATGACGAGGTACTGACAAAAAATTCATGCATTATTTTCCATTACTGAAAACTTGAAAAGTACTTAACAAAGTATTATTCATGCAGGGCATTCAAATTGGATTGACATTATTTAATAATGATATCAAACACTTTGCTGGAAAATTTGAGGCCAATAAGACGTATTTCATATCCGACGGTGAAGTAAGAAGAACTGATCAAAATTATGCAAGCGCACACCCGGAAAAGGAGATATTGCTACGAAAATCGAGCAAAGTTCAGGAAACAATTGAATTTGTAGGAGGAGAATTGCGCTACATCTTTAAAAAATTTAAAGATATAGATAGTAATGTCCCAAAATACGCATTTGGTACATCACCTCTCATTAACTTCATTGTACTATATACATATTTCTAATCATCATTCCATGAACTTTATTACTTTAAAATTATATTCAAAGTGAATCTTTTTATATGCAGATTTATGTGGAGTCGTTGCCAATGTCAAGGAATGCAAGCTGGTCAAGGGTTCAAATGGAGCGCCAAAACTATACGCGCAATTACTTTGACTAACCAAGAGTACGTACAAGCTTCATAAAACTACAATTTCTTATTATCATTAAAATATTTATCATTTAATATAATTTATTTTTTTTAACAGATGTCATCCTTTGGTTATTTCTCTGTGGGAAGATTTAGCTAAAAAGGAAGGATCAATTTTACAAAATATGATCAAGGATAAGCCCATCGTAGCAATCACAAAGATCACTGCAAGAAAGTACAATGGTAATTTCATTTACCTAATAGGAAACACATTTTTTTGATACAGTTTTATTTACTTGCCTTCTGAATTTGTATTTTGGTACAATTTCTACAAGATTTTGGTAGCACAAACCCTTGATTTTTCTCATGCTTGGTGTGGGGTGTGACAATAGTATGGTAAAAATACATTCCATTCAACTTCCTTTTTGTTTCCCTACGGATGCCAATTAGTTGCATTTTGTCCAAACAGGGAGAAGTTAATACCTGGCATTTTCTGAGGGTTCAGTCATACATCTTAGATTCCTTTTGTGTTTTCATCTTAAATTGTAATTTTGTAGCATCATGATTCATGACTTTCGATTATTTTAGTTCCTGAAGAACTTACAAAACTTCATCACCAAGTGGTGGGTTACCTATATAGACACATTGATTCTTTCAAACCAAAAAATATATCTATAAACCTTCCAGGTATCTGTCTTCTAAATTACATTTTTTTTCCGATGTGATTTTCTTCCCATGCAGAAGAATGGCAGTGGCAATCCTCACCAGCATCAATCTTGATCATCCAACCAACTTTTAAAGAAGCTAAACTCTTGAAAAAATGGTAAAATAAAATTAATACATATCCACTGAACTAATTGAATAAAGCATCTTTATTTTATTTATTTATTTTCAACATAGGTCTTCTAAGATGCCTGATGCAATCAAAATAATGGAACTTAATGTGAAAACTAGAATGAAAAAGACGGAGGAAGTCTCCCTAGATGATATCATTCACAGTTCGGATAAACTGAGTGAGGTACTATTCAATTTATAATATATTAGCATAACTATTTATGTATTTATATTATTAATTTTTTCAATTTTTTTCCACTTTCAGAGAAAATATTATTGCTTCAAGGGATTTTTTGATAAGGTTATGAACAAACCTTACATATATTACGACTCTTGCAAGACTTGTGCTTCATCGATTCAAAAAAATGGTGATACACCATCCTGTCGCAAGTGTAATGAAGAAGATGTGGAAATAATTCCAAGGTAACACATATTTAATTTATGATTGCTATACTTAATTTCTATTATATGATTGACTTACTTATCTTGCTTATTCAATATTTTAGATTCAGGATCGTCCTACAAGTCGTGAGTGACAATGGAACTGCATTTGTAACGTTGTTTGAAGATGCTGCAAGCGTTTATGTTGGTTCTGAAGTTGATCAATACCTTCAATCAATCAATGGGGTAAAAATATCATTCATTTTTTCACAATAATGTTTTTATAATTACAATAATAATATAATAAATATTATAGAACCTATAATTTATTTGTTTCTTTTGCATATTCAGGGAGAAAATAATTCATCTTACTATAGAGGACTGAGTTTGCAATCACCAACTCTATTTCGCTTCTTAACTACGGTCAAAAATAACAAAATGGAAGGAAGTCTCAACTTAGTAGCTGATGCAATTGAAAGAGTTGAACAAGATGGGAAAAAACTGTTAGAGATGACTCATCACTCACAAATTAACAGCAGAAATCCCATCCACGTTGCTACTTCCTAAAATTCTCATTCGACTTCCAAAATTTATGCAAATAAAAGGAAAATATTGAGAAAGAGTTCCATCAAAGAAGATGATGACATTGTTATTTCAAGTGATGATGATGATATCACCATTAGCACCATGAGGAAGAAGATGGATTTGAAGAAAAAATCAACTCCCAAGAAGATATCATTGTTGAAAGTCATTAAAAAGGAGAAGAAATAATTGTTTTATTTTCCACTGCGCACCTCACCTCCGACCAACCGACGACCACCGCAGTCATCTAACTTCTGGCGACGTTTCTCCGGCACCTCACGATCTCCGGCGACACTCTCTCATCCTCCACTCTTACAGTCCTCTTCACGGCACCTCATCTTCGAACCCTAGCCCTGAAGTCTCCTCCAAACCCGACCAACCAGCCATCCAACCTGCTCCGGCGGCGTCCTCCGACCACCGACGAAGACTCAATTCCGGCCTCAACACCTCCGTTCACCTCAGTCGACAGCCCTCCGCAAAACCCTAGTCCGTGGCACTTCGTTATTTCCGGTTAATTTCACCTCAAAGGTACGATTGGCTCTCCCCAACTGAAATTGGTGCATTGTTGTGGTGTGAGGAGTCCTACTCCGAGTTCGAATCGTTCCAAATTGCCCACGGCATCTTAAGCTCGATTCTTGGATGCCACGTGTTCGACGAATTGCCCGAATCATCAATCATGGTGAATGGAGGAGCGAACGCGAAGAAAAAGGCCACCGCATTTGCAAAGGGCAAAGCAGCAGCCTCCACGAGCGCCAACCCCGACCCGGAAGCCTCGGCTCAATCCTTAGCAGCCCAATTTCGCATCCCCTTTGAGGTCGTGTCAATGGACGAGGTCAACGCGTACCAAAGGCTTAACTCCCAGCCTGTTCTCGCACCGTGCCAAATAGACTGGGAATACTTCCACGATGAGCTCGAGATCGGCGATGATATTCACTGCTATATCCAGCTGCTCGACCTCGAGGAATTCGAGGATATGGAGCCGTATGCTTACCGATACTTGACTTTGGAGTTCTTTAGCACTGTCGCTAAACATGAAAATGGGAAGTACCTCACGGCTCGACTCAAGGGCAAAGATACAAAATCACCGACAAAGTGTTGCGCGATATCTACAAGTTCGACTCCTCAATCACGTCACGCCACAGCCCCATAGGATTCAAGGTTGATCCGCATTAGGCGGTCATCTCCCCCTGCGAGATGTACAAGAAATCGGGGCCGTCTTCGGGTCTAATCAGCGACTTAGCTCATGTGGTGATCCACAAATACATATCTCAGATGATCTTCGGCAAGAAGGAGTCGAACAGGGTGAGCGAGCAGCAGGTGTTCATCTTGTGGTCAATTTCTCATGACAAGCCGGTCACCATGTTGCAGTACCTAAAGGACACCCTTTTCGACATCCGCAACGATACGAGGCGTGGTCCGAACTTGGGCCATGTGGTGGCCAAGTTAGCGGAGTACTTTGGGGTTGAGATTGACGAGTCAAAAATCTATGCCAAACTGATCTCCAAGAAAGACCTCTGGCACGTCGGCTTCCTTAAAAACTCCACCACCCCGAATCCCGTCATTAAGCAGACCGCATACAAGGCCTATTGCGGAGAAATGGGTATACCGCTTCCGGACGACGAGTCCGAACCGGCGGCCGGTACATCGGCCGGTCCAGCCGGCGAGGACTCTCATGATGAGGATGGGGACGAGCTCGACACCGACAAACATCCCACTCGCGAGGCCATCCAGCCTCCTCCATTGATAGACGCGCACACGGGTGCGTAGTCCCAGCCAGCTGCTCCGGTTTGGTTCTCCGAGTATGAGGCTCGAAATGAGTCACGTTGGATGACTTTCATCCAGCAGAACGACGCGCGTTGGACGTCGTTCGTGGAGTCCAATGATGCACGATGGACGGAGCAGACCAAGAGGTGGAACGAGTTTGTTCAGAGCAATGAGGAGCACTGGACAACCCATGACACCCGATGGGACACCTGGGAGAACCAGCAGTACCAGCAGTGGAGCACTTGGGATACCCGTTTCAGCCAGTGGGATACCCATAGGAGTTCGGGTAGCAGCCATCCTCCACCGCCAGCACCGGACGCACAGTGACTTGTCACTGTGCTTTGTACGTTTTCTCTTTTATTTTTGTATAGTTTATTTTATGCTTGAGTCGGTTAATTGTGTGGTCTAACTCTCTTGTACTTAGGATTGGCAATGGGGACATTGTCTAATTTTAAGTGTGGGGGAGTTTTACGTGTTTACGTGGCTATGTGGTTGACCAGGTCTAGTTTTTATTTCTAGGATTGCTTTTGTTTTTGCTTTTCTCTTGTTTTGTGGACCGGTATGCTTTGTAGGATTATTTATTTGTGTTTTCTGAGCTTGGACTTTGGTGTATTGTAAGACTAGTTGATGATTGATTGATTGGGTTAAGTAGTTGTGATGATGAGAATGAGTGGCATATCTTGATGAATTGGCTTGTTGTTCTGTTGACAGTTATTTTACCTTGTGAGGTTTGAGCTACGTTAATTTCTTTTCTCGTGAGATATTGGTCAGAATCGTTATCAATTAGAATTTGCCTTGAGTCTACATAGAAATGAAATAATTGGGTTTGTGAACATGAATATGATTGAGGCATTCTTTGTATTTCCCTTCCCTTTTCTTTTTCTGAAAATAATTTTCACTAGTCACCCCTTTTGAGCCTTACTGATTTTCTTTTTCTTATAACCTCGTGACGATGATATTGTGGAGTTGCGTGTGTAGACTGAGAGGTGATTCGTGTTTGTATATATTAAAAAAAAGAGAGAAACCAAATGGATTACGTTAAATGTCCAAAGGTTCTCACAAAAAACTAACCAAAAAAAAAAAAAAAAAAAAAAAAAAAGAGAAACCGAATGGATTACGTTAAATGTCCAAAGGTTCTCACAAAAAAAAAATGGTGAATAAATTGGGTAGTAGGTTGATTTTAGAGTAGTGTGAGGACCCGGTTGGTGTCAGCAACCGGAGGAATTCATGTTTATGGTTATCTGATTGAGTGGAGTTGATTTTTATTTAGCCAGTTAACCTATATTTATCCTATCCTATCCAAAGAGCCTACGTTACAACCTTAAAGCCCTCTTGATTCATGATTTCACGAATTTGATTGTTTTAGAGTAGGAGTTAGATGATAGGCAAATTTTATGATTGATTCGACTGACGACCAATTTGAGTGTACCCAGCTGATATTTGAGAAAGAAATTGAGTGAGGCATATATGATACACTTCTGTACTCGAGAGCTTATGTCATACAAAATAGCCAAGTTAATAGTTGAGGTGTGCCCTTGTGATCATTTGAATTCTTCTTGACTTGATTGATTGGTTTGAGATTAGTCTTGCTTGAACCGTTGTCCTTGCTCATTTGTTTATTTTCCTTTTTCTTTTCTTTTCCTTTCTTTTTGTTCGGGACGAACAAAGGTCTTAGTGTGGGGGAGTTGTTTGTCCCATTTTTGTTGCTATTTTTATTTATGTTGTAACGCTCCGTTTTATTTTTAAGAATTTACCGAATTTATTTATAAAAATCAGAGTTTATTTTTCGCAAAATCTCAATTTAAAACTTTAATATTCGACGGGCGCTACTTAAAGAACTAAAACAAATAAACATTTACACAGATAAAAGTTAACAGTTCAAAATAAAATTTCAAAATATCCATAAACCTCAAACCAGTCATGCATAAATAAATACTTCAACAGAATTCAATAGTCTAATCAACAGGTTCGAAATAAATAAAGCGGAAACATAGTTATTCAAAGTTGGACAAATGGTTTATCGAGATAATAGAAAGCGAAAGCAAGTAACACACAATCCAACGACCACCACTCGATCGTCCCTCGCTGCCGCCGCCAACCAATGCTCAACCTAAAAAGATAAGAAGAGGAACAAGAGGGACAGAAAAGTAAATGGGGGTGAGTACAACCATCATACTCACCATTACCGCACAATATATTTCGCATAAGATCCATAACCATAAATAATGTATGCATAGAATCCAGATCTAACTCCCTATTAGGCCCTATCACAAACCTCCTATATACATACAACAAACCCCCGACCAGACATCAGCGAGGATGTAACTGGAAGCACTCCCACCCCGGATGCAACGGTCATATGATCTTATCCAGGAGACAGTGAAGTTAAATTATCCCTCCGCTCTACACGGATTCGGGCGTTCAGACAATCCCCTCTGCTCTACACGGATTCGGACGTCTACCTCTCGGATGCAACGGGCAGGTGACTTCCACTGATTATGCATTCGTCAAAGGCACTACCGTCGGGACACTTAGACTAGGGTTCTCACGCATACAAAAACTATCGCGACAAACATTTATACGAAATAACAAGTGCGATAAATGTAAATTCAACATAAATGAACCCACCTGGTAGCGATCATAATAAACACAAACAAGGGTAGGCGGCAAGGTCGACTCGTCAAACACCTACATTTATTAAAATAGTCTTATCAAAGACTATTCTATAATTACTAAGCCCAACTAACATCATATAACCATTTAAGCAAGGAAAACATGTTATCGAAAATATCACATAAGTTTTGAAAACTTGACCCGGGCAGCGTTTTTAAAATCGACATAACTTTCAGCATATAACTCATATGAACATGAATCAAGTTGCATTGGAATCCTAAGACATGAAACTACAACTATTAGGAAGACACTGAAAGCAAATAAGGTCATTTATTAGGTGATAATCAACAAATATTAAATATTGAGTCACAGTCCAAATCTGGGAAAATGCACTTGACCAGACTTCAGTATTTATTGTATCACTGGAGCTACAGGCATGATTTTGATGAAATTCAAAGACCACATGATAGGCCACTCAAATGTCTACAACTTTTCTGAAGATCACATTGGCAAATAATCACATATTCAATGAGTGTAAACACAAAATACTTGGTTCAGTAAAACTGTCAAAATTTAACATATGATAGGGACAACCCTTCAGTCTTAATCAATTAAACCAAATGATATGGTTAAAGTATCAAATTAAACCTTAGGCATGCCTCTACAATTTTCATTTAGAACACGGATCATAAGAGATCATTTGGGTAGTAAAAAATCGGTTATCATTTATTATCAGATTTCTGTCAAAGTGGCCAATCCTAACTCATGCATATCTAACTTCATGTGAACACAAGTCGAGTTACAGAGCACATATCAATATGAAATTTATTTCATTTGAAAGGTAAAAATCAAATCTACAACTTTCATGAAGAGTGTAAGATCATATGAGCACCTTATAGCATGAAAAACAGGTCATCCATTAAAATCATATAAGCTGTCGGGTAATAGGAAAACTGGACGCGCACAAATTTTGTAAAAATCATAACTTTATCGATATAGCTCGGATTGAGAAATTCCAAAGCTCGGATTTAGAAAACTGAATGCACTACAATTCTCATGAAGGTCAGAATTTCAAATATTCAGTCTATGATGGCTTAAAACGCAGCATAACAGAACAGTGAAAATCATGATTTCACATAAAATAACGATCATATGCATTCCGAATCTCAACTTCGGTTCATTTGACGGCTCGCCAGCCCATTTTATCACTTATACCTCAGCAACGAATGAACATTTTTGAGGAGTTCATAGTCACTAATGACGTTCGATAATTATTAGACGAACAATTATTTGATTCGAACATATATTCATCAATGCATATCAATTTACGAAGGACACACATAATATCAACGATTGACGAGTTTAGCAAAACGGATTTACCGAACACCAAAGGGGAATAGTCGAGCCTCAGTTTTAGAGTTCGGAAACGACAAATCCTACGAGCGGGGAAGATCGTCCGCTTGACTCGCTCGACGTTAACGGCGGCTCGCTCGACGAAAGTGGCGATGAAAGAGGGCTCGAGCTCGCGGAACGAAGGCGCGAAGGAGGTCGTTGATCGTGGTGATGGTGGCCGGCGTTGCTGTCACGAGGAGGTTGACGGCAAGGGGCTGCGCGCGCGTGGAGGAGTCAGGCTCGGCGTCGACGTGCGGCTGGGAAGGTGACGGCTACCGGCGGCTCTTGCGGTTGTTGGCTGCTGCGCGTGGCATCGCGTGGTGCAGCGGAGGAAGGCGGGGTGGTGCCGGGCGGAGGAAGGTGGAGATGATGGTGGCT